TTAAATAGGCTCCGGTGGAGCATCATTCATCTGCATCATGCGCTTGAAATTTGAAAAGTTGATCACCAAGTCTTCTGGCTCCACGTGGAGATCAGAGGAGGTGCGCGTTGTCATACCGGCGTGGGGCATGCCAAGGGGACCCATATCAACCTCCTGTGAGGCGTAGCCCTGGCCCTTCCGATGTCGACTGGAGCTCTGCAGGGCTTCGTACTGTTGCTCCAACTCCTCCGCCACGTCCTTGTGCTGACCGCCCAACAGCATATCAGCCAACTCGGCGTCAGTGACCTCTGCGGTGTAGCCCAGTTCATCCCGCAGCCGACGTAAGTCCTCCATATCAATGAAACCCTTGCCCCCAGTGTCGATAAGCTCAAAGGCCTTGCTAATGTCAGTGTCACTGTCGATATTAAATATCCACTCTGACAGGAGGGCCAGGTATTCACCAAACTGGATTGAGTCCGTAGGGAACATGTAATGCAGGAAGGTCTTCTCGTTCATGGTCAGATCATGACCCAGTGCGTGTAGTGCCACCTACAGGTGGGATTGCATGAGACAACCATCACACATGCAAACAAGTTTCTTTTAAAACAGGAAGTTTTTTGGTAACAATTCTAAAAAATAGGTCGATATCTATCTGTTGCTTTGGACAGAATAGGGGACATTTTTACCAAATAGTTTCGAAGGATATCACCTCCAAACATTTTTACTGGCATTCTTAATGCAGGAAATGACAAGCAATCTGACGGGGTGATGACCGAGTGAGCGCCATAGAAAGGAAAACTCCAACCCAGATGCTTCGCTAATTAAAAAGTAATGGGAATTGATCATATTTGATGCCGGCTACTTTTTTAGCATCTTTTATGGAAGTTATCGGAACAGACCTATGTCTCCTAAGCAAGAGAATATAACTCGTTGTTGGCTTGTTAAAAACGCTATAAGTCTGAAACAGTTCCTCTACCCCATTTATGTCTTTTGTAAAAGCTCTAATGTCAATGTTCATTCGTTTACTTAATCATATTAAATTCGTATAAGCCCGATGAGTTACTCCATAGCATCAGTGTATCAGGTTTCAAGGGAAGTGTATATGTTTATTTCCCAGCAGTTTTATATAAATACTTTATTGCTTTATAATGTGGAAAACTCTCTTAACTAATACAGATCCGGCTGCTGCCAAGAGTCTTCCCCAGCGTGAAAATATATGCAATGTCGACGAAATTCGACCATTTAATTGCAAAACATCGTAAAGCGTACTTTCTTAGCTTGTCAATAATTGCGAAGCAGACTACTCTCTGAAGGGGTTTAAGCAGATGTCCAGTAGAGCAAAACGCCCCTTCTTAACCTCAAAGATGAAAAGAATAAATCCAGTGGCGAAAGCGACTCCTTTTGGCTAATAGAGACCCGTTGCCTTTGTCGTTCCCTTCTTTAAGTTCCCGTAGTCCGGCGCCCTTAGTAGTACTGTTAATAAGACCCCGTGTACAGCAGTTCGCTATCAGAAGTGGTTTAAAGAGAGCTTGGAACTTTGCATATTGAGCCATTTTCTACTTGGTTATTTCCTGCTACCAAAAGCACTGAATGTTAACTTTATGTAAAAATTTGATTCGGCTCATTCTAGGTATTCTAAATTGCTGAGAAAAAAATACGGCGAAAATTCTGCTGACTCGTAGAAAGCAGCCCAGAGACCTCGGAATTCTAATTGGCAGGCCCTTGCGCTTGGGTTATGATGATTCCATAAGGTAGTCTTTGACATTTCTAAACATGCAACCACTTCTAGTGGGTTTGATGTGACTAATCAATTTTGCTGTAGGCCGAGAATTCAAGGTCAAACTAAGTGCTCGCCTCCATTCTGCAATTAGGATATGCCCTTTAATGTCACTCTCAGGTGACGTAAACGATTCCTGAAACGACATCAACATAGCTACAACCGATATTTTACAACAGGTAAAGTCTGTATTTAAGGAGACAACTGAATCTGGATTAAAACATCAGGTTGTGTCGGCCTGGGATTGGTGTATTGTCCACTGACAATGGAGAATGAGCCAGAAATGCACATTTCAATCGCCTCTGTCCTTTTGGGAGATGCATTGCGACAACCCCTTGCAATGTAAACTTCCCATAATTGAAAAGGCCTTTTGATTTTTCCATGAACAAAAACAAAGCAGTCGTCCTAACTCATAAAATGTTATCTGACATTCTGAAAGTTTAGTTGACTCAATTGTGAAAACACTCGCGGCGTCGGCAGAGGTCAAACCCGCATAGCAGAGAAGGCCTTTACTTAGCCAATGCTCCACAACTTGAGCTACGACGCCACGCCGTGCGCCGTGACTATCATCACCCTTGGATCGATTTTATCCTCCCAACTTTACCGTAGCTCAAGTGATAGAGCGTTGGCTGCGTAAAGGCCTTTCCTGCTATGCGGGTTCGACTCCTACCGACGCCGTGAGTTTTTTCACAATTGGGTCAACTAAATTAAGCAAATCTGCCAAAACTCCCTAAATTATTCTGAAAGCTGTTTTCGCTTAGAGTGGATTGCTTAAGTGGGGTTGCTAAATTGATTTTTGTGCGCCATAAGCCCAAGGTATTTTAGGCAAGACAGGGTGCTAACTTTTGAAAAAGACGTATTTCCGGTACCCTGTGGAAACTGAACTCGGGAAAGATGACTACCTAAGTAGTAAGACGATTCCAAAATGATTTTAGATATTCTTATATCTTCAAATATCATTTATAGAAATAATGTCCAGAACTCTTTATGTACTCATTGAACATCAAGTTATATCTTATTTAAATTGTATGCTTAACGAAACAGTATCCTGCGGTTTAGAAAAAGGTTAAATTTAAGAGATTTTTCAAAACTGTGAAATCTGCATTCGTACAACATCGCATCTGCCTCTTCATTAACGCCATTTATGAAGTCAATGACTCAATGAAGTCAATGACTCATTGTAAATTTTTTCAACAACTTTATGATGTCTTTTTAATAGCGTGGAGGGATTGAGGATCTTTTTTCCGCTTAAAGTATACAGCATATAGTTTGAAAACGCTCAGCGCAAATGCAACTTCCGATCGGATTCAAGATTATTCGAACATTTAGAAAGTTTTATAAAACTAAAGGATACCCTTTCTTCAATAAAGCAATTTGAATAAGACGAAAAGGTGTTTTTTAATATTTTAGTCAAAATATTTTCAAATTTATAGGGCCATCGAAAACAAAATATCAAAAAGTCATACTTATTAAATAATTTGATCGATTGTTGTTTTTATAGGAGACTGAAAAGAAGCTCGTTCGAAATCCGGCATCCTGTCGTGACCGAAATATGTTAAGATTATGCTGTAGGATAAGCAGCATTTCAACTACACCAAAGTAGTCCTTTGTAATCTCGAAAAAAAATTTCAGAAAATTCAGAAAATTTGGAGATTTCAGAATCTCGGTTGATATTTCACGAGATAGGCCAACTACGCTCTGTTGGCAGCACTTTCATTGATAGGGTCTGCTCCCTCCTTTGCGGCCTGGGCTTATCTGTAGAGTCCTAACAGGCATGTAATCCAGACCTGGGATTGACGACAAGTAAAAAACCTTGTCGCTGCCATTAAGCTACTTCTACCTATTCAACTGACTGCTGTGCGTTTTATTAAGTCGATTTACCCGCAGGTGGCTGTTGTTATTATGGGCGTATCTAAACATTTCAGAGAAACGCAATTAAATTTTCTGTTTCTTGCTGCGGGGATGTCAATTTAAATACCGTAAAACGTGTAATCCTCAGGTGAGAAATAATAGAGCAATGTATGTGTGTGTCCTGCGCAATTGCGCACGAAGTAGACGCGGCAGACGCAGTAATATCGACCAAAAGTCATGCTACTGAACATAATTTGCGTAGGCGAGCAAGCAACTTAAAGTTTAGCAGACGGAAAAGCAAACAAGCGTAATTTCAGCCATAAAGAATCAGCAGGATTTTGTAAAACAGCAAACATGAACAGAAGCTACAGCAGCCGCTAGTAAAGCAAAACGCTGGTATTGTTCAATCAATGCATTTCTAAACCATTCGCATTGGTCTTAAGTTTGTTACCAGGGAATGAGGAACAGCGAAATGTTCTCATTCACCACCATTACTAAGTAAGGGTTAATTTCAATGGGACGGCTAGAGAAAATGAAGGCGTCTAGGGTTTTTGGTTAAAACAATTTTAGAAACGCACGCATACACCGAGTAGATGCTCTCGAAGAACGCCAAAACAATTTTGAGAGGCAGTTGTTGCAAGGCATACAGTTTTACATTTAATTTGAATTTCAAGGCCCTTAAAGTCAACTAGCAAAGAACCGAAGCCAAATATACAAAACTTACTTTCACTGCGTCAATGGAGACAATTCCTTGGCCGGCTGAATCAAATAGATTGAACGACCTCTTCAGGTCCCTTTTTGAGGCAGCATCCAGTTCTATTTTCGGCCAGAAGGCTCGTTTAAAGGCAAGTTTGATGTCCTCGTTTCTTCTGCATTTATCTCCCCCACCCTCTGCCATTATTGAATCACGAAAGACACTGTTGGATTGTTGGGCACGTGCTAATCGATTTTTTTAAATTGTACAGCCAAAGAGCTGACGGACGGCTGAAGTCCCTAAAAGCTAGCCCCTTCAGATTACGCACCAGAAAGGTGGTTCACTCCTGCTACTAATGCAAACGTCTAGGTAGAAGTTATCCGCTGGGATACTTGTGAAAGTGCAAAAGGTCGGTCACGGTGAGATAGGCAGCCTCTAAGTAAATGGCCGATAGCGGATTCAGAGCATTCAAGTGATGTGCTTTGGAGTTTTGCTACAATGCAGAGAGCCTGAACTGGCGTGAGTCTATGAGGTTTGCATAGATAAAGCCTCAGTTATAG